GACAGGGAAGGGGAGGGGAAGCCAAATAAAAGGTGCTTTGATGAGCTTGTGGACACACGAGGTTCAGTCCTGCTGGGAACCATCTGAGATACCTTGTGGAATAGACCACAAATAATCCCAATATAGAACAGGAGCCATTCATTTATTGCCAGTTGACTGGGTGTTTGGGAGCTTTTAACTCCCCAGCAATTTCAAGTTGTTCTTCCAAGGTATTCTAGAAAGCCCTTGGGCAGAGGAGAGAGAGACAGATGGAGAGAGGCACTGTGTCATGGTTCGCTGTCAGGTTCCTGAGAAGTGCCCACAACTTCTGGTGAACTCAGATGCACCTAAGGACATAGGATTAGGCATTGACCCCTACCACAGAGGCCATGTCTATCTTGTTTATTGCTGCACCCCTAGGGGCTAGAACAGTCCTTAGTCCAGTGGCCTATAGTAGATGCTCAACAAATACTTGATAAATAAATCCTGTGCACCTACCAGAATTTGTACCAGGTACTGGGTAACAATTCCTTTAATTGTGCTCTCCCTTCGGACTGTAATTCCTTCTCCAATCTAGAGTCTGTACCATTCCCTCTGCATCCTCAATCTCTCTGCCCTGTTTTCACCCCATCTGCAGAAGGTTGCTGGGAGCTGCTGGAAGCTCATATGGCTGGGCCCTCAGCACTGCTGGATCATCCTGCTTGGTGTCCCTGGCCCCTCCTGGACCCAATAACTGGCAGAGGTGGCACCCACAGCATCACTGTAGCATCAACTGTAGCCAGACTCTTGAAAAGTCTCAATCCAAACTTCCAGGGAGTAGAACTCATTTCCCAAGGCCAACCTCACACCCAGTGCTGGGACTAGTGTGAGAAAGTGAAGCATTTGTTTAGAGAACAAAATATAAAAGGATGCCAAAAAGTTCAATAATCAAGATCATATTTTCTGCAGTCTTTTTAAAAATCAAAATTCAAAAGTGAACCATGTGTTCAAAATAGCACGATGAACAGATAATAAAATTTAAAGACAGGATTGTATTGCTGTTATTTCCTTTTGCCTCAGACTCCATACGGCCAAGCATTGTGCCACTACTGGTCCTGTGCTTATCTGAATGTCAGGCTTACCGACCCTGCCTGCCTAAGTATTTGGGAGGGAAATATACTGAGGTCTTCAATTCTTCAAAGTTACATTAAAAAATGGATTATTGAATGGATTGATGTATAGACATAGGATAGATAATCCAGCACCATAAAATGTTAATTGGTCAAGTTAAGCTGTGGAATTCTTTCACCTTTTCTGTATGTTTGAACTCTATTTTATTTTTTTTGTAATTTTGGAGAATAAAAAATAAAGAGCAGTGGGAAGGACCCCCGAGGCTGGCTCTCCGGGGTCAAAGCAGCTCTACCCCCTTAACCCCTAGGTGTCCAGTGAGGACGTAGCGGTCCAGCCAGCCTGCCACTCCTTGACCTAAGCCTGTCTCTGGCCCTGCGTTTGAGATCCCTGCTCCCCATCAGTAGAAAGGCCTGGATCCTCTCCACTTCCTGACTGGTGCCCGTGGAGTCCGGTTGACTCCCTCCTTCCCTCCAAGGCCCCTAAGTGGGGAACATATTAGTCCCTGGGGTAGGGTTTGTCATTTAACAAAACACGTCCTATGATATAGCATCCTTCTATGTTTTTTGGGGGAAAAAACCCCATCGAAATGTCACTTGAAATATGGAGGACCTGAAAGTAAAGCACTAGAGATAAGCAATCATTATCAGCTGAGCGGGGAGGTGAGAGTGCGGGGTGGCAGGGAGGGAAGAAGCATTTAGAAATCTAAAGGTGGAGAACCTTCTCTCACCACTGGGGAGCGAGGCAGGGCTGGCTCGGGACAGGGTGGTGGCTTCCTCCGGGATCTTGGTGGTTCCCAAAGCACAGAACTGGGTCAGGGTCCGAAGAGCGTGGAGCCAGGATTCGTCGTAAGAACCGTTGGGAACTGAGGGAACACTGGTGGGGGGGTGGGGGAGGGGAAGGGGCTGGTCCTGATGTGGATTCCCTCCCTCCTCAATTCCTTCACTGAATGAACCTTGCCGGCCCTATCTGCCTCCCTCGAATTCGGATTGCGAACTCACAGCGGACCCGAGGAGAGCTCAGGAGTTCTTTTCAACTTCTAGCCATGCACTTTGGTGTTGGGGGGTGGGAGTGGGAGATGCAGAGATGGGTCGCATCTTCTCCTGCTGTCTATTTCTCACGTCGGCCTGAATGCAAGGCTGGGGATGGGTGTATTGCCCACGAGGGGGCAGCGTTTCCCTTGGGGCGCCTAGGAGCTTGGCTCTCCCGCCTCTGCCTTTCTGGGCCCGCGCAGGGTGACGGGTGGGGGAGCCGGGCTCCAGGGAGCTGAGCACAAAGCCGGGAGCTAAGAGGCAGTGCAGCGGCTCCAGGCGAGCCCGCGGAGATGGCAGCCGCTGTCCGGGGCCTGCCTGGTGTCTCGTTTGTCCTTTTAAAGACGGGAAGGACGGAGCTGGCGCAGCGTGACGCTCCCTCCTTCCCTTCCACTGCAGAAGTCAGGGCTTTTTCTGAAGGCTACTGACCGAGCTCCGACTCAGATCGTACCCGAGGGTGGGTGGACCTGCGGAGGAGCAGCGGAGGCGGGGCAAGGGCGATGAACGGTCAGTTCTCCCGGCCTGGGAGGCATCAGAGGGCGTAGAGGGACGGGAAACTGAGAGTCCTCTGGTCAGCTCTGGATCCTGACTCGTGACAATAGTGACAAAAGGGCATCAGGTGGATGACAGCGGACATCTCAAACGGCCCGTTCAAATCGTCAGAGCCGCAGGCGGCCGAGGGAACCAAATTTTATCCCCCTTGCGCTTCCACACTTGTTGGATGGCTGCAGAAGCAGGCGGTGCGAGGTCACCTCTGTCGCAGGCACGCGCTCAGGGATGCTCTGCACACACAGGCAAGCACACGCATTCATCAAAGCTCTCACAAGACACAGATACAGCCTCCCACCCCCAACCCCGCACATCTTCGTGTAGGCGCTCTCTCTCACACAAGCACACACTGACCCACGCCGTGGCAGCGGGCAGGGAGAAATGGCCACTGTGCATAGGAATTCTCCCCGTTCTTTCCTATGCTCCCATTGCACCTGGAGAAATCGTTCCAAACGAGGCCTCTGCCTTGGTGGGAGAGATCAAGAACCTCCCACCATGGCTTCTCTCCCAGTGAGAACGGCCTAGCCTTCCTGAGCTCCCAGATTCCATCTGGAGAGTCTGACCGTGATCCATTCCAATGTACCCAGCACTGGCACCCCTGGAAGCAACAGGAGGGCTGCCCTTGCAGTAGGATCTGCATAAAAAAGGACAGGGTCCTCTGGGTAATTTAAGCAAACACATTCTCAAACAGGCTGCTCAAGAAAAGGGGAGGCTGGGACATAAACGGCTCTGCCTGGTGAATCTAAACAGCCAGATCTTTTCACTGTGGCTGTGTAAACCCCACCTTGGACTTGAGGGGGGTTCTCCAGGGTGAGAGGTGCCTGGGATGCCAGGTTGGCAAACCCTGGGAAATACACAACGGCCCTGCTGACTTCCTTTGTAGCTCTCTTCACAGCCGGCAGTCATACTGTGGATTTCAGAGTCCCAATCTATTGCCTGTCTCTCCTCTGCTAGACTGTAAGCTCCGGGAGGGCAGGGCTGAGTTTGGCAGCCTGCACGGTCCCAGCCCTGGTGGGCTGTCTATAAATATTTGTTGAACAACTCTGTAGGGCTTTTGTACATAAGCAAAACTTTTTCTTCCTTCTTTATTTTAGGACTGGAGTTCGAGAGTGTCCACCAAATTCTCAGATGGATCCAACCCCTGGGGAAAGATCTGGGCGCGGGGTGGGGGCAAGCCTAGTCCTGGCGGCTGGGGAGCCAAGGCCACACCAAAACCGTGGGCGCACCACCACGTGCTCCTTTGCCTGAGTCCCCCAAGTACTCAGAAAGCCTCCCCTTGGTGCTGAGCACCCCTCACGCTCCCCGGAGCTCTCCAGGGACTCTTTAACTACAGCTGCTTCTCCATCCCCACTTGCTTCACGGGGTGGGCCAGGGCCGGTTCCCTCGCCACCCAGCGCCAGGATTCCCGCGGTTGCGAAAATGCAGAACTGAGACAGGGCCGCGAGCGCCTTTGTTTCTTCTTTATTTGCTGATATAATTATGCACCGCACTCTAAATTAGAGAAAGATTTTTTTTTCTGATATACATTTCATCTTATTCACCACGAGCACACCACACGCACAGCAGAACAGTTCCACAACCTGATAAATTGCACAAGATGAGTTTGGATTCCTGAAAACCGGCAGGCAAGCCGGCCCCGCCGGGGCTTCTCGCTTCCCCGCTTCGGCGAAGGAAATCGCCCACCCGAAACGGATTTCCCGGCCAGCCTTTCCCGCTGAAGGGTTGAAATGTCTCCGGAATGGGAATCGTTCTTGCTGGAAATGGCTAGACTCTGCAGATTCCAAGCACTGATGGCTGTGAAATGTGCCCGCAAGGTCAAGTTTCTGAGCCTGCGAGTTGCGCCCCCTCTCCCTCCCTTCCCCCCCCCCCCCCCCGCCCCCGCCATTGGAATGTAGCCCCCCCCCCCCCCCTCCCCCCCCCCCCGGTGACAGGGACCAAAGTGTTGGGGCCCCTCCTGGAAGGACAGAAAACCCTGCCCACAGATGCGCCGCTGCCTCCCCCGAAACCAGGGTGTTGTGGAAAAGAAAGGACAACAGAAACGCAGACGCAATGGATTGTGGATCCCTATCCCCTCCCGCCCCCAACCCCCAAAATCAGAAACGGGGAGCCAGAGATGTTTAAAGCTTGGCTTCCCAAGCGCGGCTGCAGGGCGCACGGGTTTGTTGGGGGAGGGGTGGGTGGGGAGCGGGGAGAGCGCGGGAGGGCGGCCGGGGGGCTGGCCCTAGCGCCCTAGTCCTCCGCGTTGGTTCGGTAGGCCTCAATGAGGCCCTCCAGCGAGTGCACGAAGCCGGACACGCTGCAGATGCCGCCGATGACGAAGATGGCGACGTCGAAGAAGACCTGGTGCCACAGCAGCTTGCGCCAGAGCAGGCGCAGGTGGAAGAGGCTGGGCAGCAGGAAGCAGAGGCCGGCGCCCGTGAGGCTGCCGGTGAGGCCCATAAGCAACGCGAAGTGCGGCACGTAGATGGCCATGAGCAGCGTGAAGACGACCAGCGCGCAGCGCAGCGTCAGGCCCCACGACTTGAGGCGCCCGTCGCCGCCGTAGCAGGCGGGAAAGAAGGCGCGGCTGCCTTCCTGGAAGAGCGACTTCTCCAGCACCTCGACAGCAGCGAAGAAGGGCAACGGGTAGGACAACAGGGCCTTGGCCACCAGGAAGATGTTGACCACGGCGCGGATGGAACCGGGCAGGTTATCCGTGATGACCTCCTTGGTCTCATCGGCCCAGGTGAGGTAGGCGACAAGCGCGAAGAGGCCTTTGAGCACGCAGGCGGCGATGTGCGTCCAGTTCATCATGCAGTGGAACTCGCTGGGCTGCTGCATGTTGCCCTCCAGCGAAGGCAGGAAGATCTGCGACGTGTAGCTGAACACGATGATGCCAATGGAGATGGGAAACTTCTTGACGTCGATATAGAACTTGACCTTCTCCCAGGCCCAATCGCGCGCCCTCGATAAGCAGTAGGCAATGACCAGAATGTTGATGACGAAGTGGGCCAAAGTGCACAGCAGGCTGAACCTGGACACAGCCTTGAGGTTCTTAAGGAAGGCGCAGGGCAGCAGCGCCGCCGTGGCGATGATGGACCAGGACTTCTGCGACACGGGCAGCCCTGGGAAGCTGTTGTACATGAGGTTGCCGCTCACCACCACGTACAGGATGCAAGTCATCACCAGCTCGATGATCTGCGCCACGTTCACTACGCGGCCGCCCAGCGTGGGGAAGCGCGGAGCGCAGCAAGCGTTGGCGATGGCCACATACGAGTCCCGCACGCGTACCACCTCGCCGTCCTCGTTCTCCTCGTACAGGCATGCGATGAGGATCTTGCCAGTGTAGCAGCACACCACGGCGGCGAAGATGATGAGGAACAATCCCAGGTAGCCGCCGTGCAGGATGGCGTAGGGCAGGCCCAGCACGAACATGCCCTGCGGAATGAAAAGACAACCAGACCCGGGAGCTCAGTGGATGCTGTATCGGAATACGGGGTCTGGGGGAGTGACTTAAGGGTGTAGCCGGAAGGGGGCGCTAAGTGTGAACTGGGCCTAAGCCATTGGGAGGAGAGGGTAAGGATAGGCTGGAGTGGAGGTGTAGAGTGGTCTAATGGGGAGCCTGGGTATCGAGTCAGAGGTGGAGAAAGGGGTGTTTAAGGATGGAACTGAGAAGGAGAGGTGTGCTTAATGGCTGGGAGGTAGGGAGGGGGCTGAGTAAGGGGTCAAGCCGCAAAGAGGTAAGGGGTACGAGGAGATACCTGGGGGTGGTTCGGAAAAAGATGAGAAGGGGCTGGAGGGGGTTGACCGGAAAAGGACGAGGAGAAAGGTAGAGAGCTGGGCCTGAGCCACTAGGAAAAGGGGATGCAGAGTCTAAGGTGGAGCTGGAATGGGGTGCAAGGAAGCCAATGAGGGGAACGCAGGTGCCTAAGGGTCGAACTGGAGAGGGAAACCGTTGAAAGTGACAGCGGGAGAGAAAGGAGACAGGGTAGGGAGGAAGGGGGGCTGAGCGTGGGGCAAGCAGCAGGGAGGCAAGACCAGTGGGAACATGGGGTTTGCTGGCGAAGGGCTTTGGGTGGGGTGAGGCCAGAGGCGTGGGGATGGGGAGACAGGGTTGGGCAGTCTTAGGGCCAGGCTGAAACTGGGGCGGAGAGACCGGTCCCTAAGGAAGGGGACTAAGTGGTAGAGGCGAGCAGGATTAGGGGCCTACTGGAAAGCGCAAGCGCTTTGTGAACGGCGAACCCAAGCGGGAGTCAATAACCAGAGGCTGCGGGAACGGGCGGGCAGAGCTGTGGAAGGATTTAGAATCCACGTAGGGAAGCAAAGCTAACGAAATCCAGGGTTCCCGAGGCTTGCAGGCCTCCAGCCTTCCACCCTGGCCTCCATCAAGGCCTACGGAACGGGGCCTTTAAAGATGCCCCAGGTGAAGGCGGGGGCGGCAACCGAAGCTGGTGCGTGCCCCAGGTCCCTGGTTGCGCTTGGCCTTCCGGCCCGGCCCTGGAGCGGAAGGCGCCTCGGGTCGGGTCACTTACTGAGCAGGGCCCCGAGGAGCCCCGCGGAGCCCGGGTCCCAGGACAACCCCATCTCGGCCTCCAGCTCCCGGGGAACCCACGTTCTGCGCCCCAACGACCTGTGCGCTCTGGGGACGCCGAGGGTGGGAGATGGGAGGCAAGCCGCCGGGCCCGGGGACGCGTGGGGCGGAGGCCCTCTCTGCCCCTCGAGCTGCGGCCTGCTCGCCTTCTCCAGCTCCCGGGGTCGTTGTGCAGGTTCCAAACCCGCTCCCGGCGGAGTCCGGCGCCGCCTGGTGGGGACTGAGGGTTGAGAGTAGGGGTGACGGGGTGGCGGGCCTGGAGACCAGAGGCGGTTCAGAGCATCTGAAGGCGGCTTCGCCAGGGTCACATGCAGAGGAGCTTTTTGCGGTGTAGCCGGGATTTCGAGCGAGAGGGGTGTCTGTGCGCAGGTAGCGCTGAGGTACCAGGGACCATATTGTGCTTGTGTGGTCATACGTATGTGTGTGTGTGTGTGTGTGTGTGTGTGCATGTTTGTGTATACCTGTTTGTCCCCGACAGGGCTGCACCTGAGAGAGCGGGTGGATCCTGTATGCAAAAGTCTGTGCATGTGTGCATGTGTTATGTTCAGATGGGTTTATGTGTGTGCCCTTGGTATGTACAGGTATGTGTTTCTGTGTGGGGGAGGTGTAGGGGTGTATGAAGGTGCATTTGAGGATAATTCTGTGGTCTATATATAGATGTATGTTGTGTGCACCTGTGGCCGGCGTTTCTTCGGGGGAGGGGGCTGTGGGCATGTGTGCCTGCCCATGTGCATGCGCGCTGTCTATGCGTGTGTGCCTTGTGTGTCGGGGGAGGAGACCCCCAGCTCAGATCTTTCCCTTCTCCTTTTCTGCCGAAAATGCAGCTGTGAATCCATTCCGGAGTCCCAGGCCATACTGTTCCCTCCAATCCTGATTTTCTTTCTCCCTCACCCCTCCCCACTCCCCCTCCTCCTGTTTTCCTCCCTTCGGCAGGGTCTCCGGGAAAGTGTCTCTAACCGAACCTCAGCCTAGTTGTCGGGAGGCCAGCGATGCGGGAGGGCGCCGGATGGGGGGTGGGGAGACACCACCTGGGGACGTAGATCCCCGCGCAGGGCTGGAAGGGATGGGGGCAGGCGAGATTCCTGGTACAGGAAGGGGTCTTGAGGCTGAGATCTCCAGGGAACTCTACTGCGAGTAGAGCCTGGTGCGCAGATCTGGCGGCGGGGTGGGGG